GGCGCAGCTACGTCTTTCTCCGGCCAAACATGCGGCTCTCTGTGAAGGATCATGTGTGTGTGTGTGCTTCACTAACCCGATTGACGGGTTGCTATATGATGGACATACACGGTTGTTACGGATAGAGGACAAACGTGAACTCGCTGTCCAAACACGGCCATATTGCATGAGTGTGATGGGTAAACCGAGCCAGGCCGCAATGCGGGAGTTAGACGAACAGTGTGATGTAATCGCGGTCACGCAAGGGGTTAACCGCCGGAGATTGTGATGGCTAGGGCATTTTCCGCACATATCACCACATAAACTGTCCCAGTGTTTAATGGTTTCTGCGGCAAGGAGGCGTTGGAAGAAGGCCTGAATTAGTCAGACTAAAACCCAGTGTGAGGGTATAAAAATCTTGGGCTCACTCATTTAGGTCCCGTGGGTGTATTCTCGATTGGGAACCTAGAGATCAGCCCAGTCAATGGTTAAAGACACTGCGTGATATCGCTAAGTGTGGAAGTGTGGCGCTTGTGCATCTACTCACTTGTTAATGCAAATCTGGCCAACTCACATTCTGTATCATTGTCGCAGTACTACTACGACTCAGCTTTTTAGTCTTTTCGTCACTGGTCGGTCAAATGACTAATCAAGATGATAGCCGCCGAACTCGGCACACGGCTTACGGTTGCACAAACTGAAAACCGCACACACCGTCTCGGTGATCATGTTGATGAAATTATGGATTTTGACTAGCTACCCTTCAAACTTCATTCCCATACACTATCTTCAGTTCACCAAGTGAATCAAGTATTCACGGATCAATAGACTCCAGTTTTGCTTTTCTTATGGCTCATCAATAATGTCTTTGCATTGGCTCATCCGGGATTTAAATTCCGGGTCCGTCCACATGGATAGTGTTCAGTATTCTACTTCGAACACATGACATATCTGCATTACTGACTTGATGATGTCGTCATGCTCAAACAATACTGAATGATCTAAACTAAGGCACCTGAGCATGTTTCTTTAGGGTTTCTCTTATTTCTCGTATGCCCCACAGTACCACAATGTCTGTATTGCTAAATGAGCTTTTTCCTTTGTTGTTAAGAGTAACGTTCAGTTTATTTCTGCAGTTCAGTTGCTCGTCATATATCTGGTCGTCCATTATTCACTCTGCAGCTTGTCCTGTATACAGTGTTTCCATTTCAATGTCTCTACAGGCAATCAGTGTCCTCGCTGGTCTTTCAATTCTGCTCCTCATTGCCGCTCCATTTGTGATTGTTTCTGTGCCATGCATTTTGTGCGCCAAATGCCACCGTGTCTATCTGCAACGTCGTTTACGGAAACGTCATGGGGACGGTTTGGTCAAGCCTCATGCTACCGAACCATTGAGTAGTTGTCAGTCAGAGGAATTATCTCGCCGAGGTCTGGCGGCGACTGCAGCTGTTGAAGCGGATCCTGCTCACCCGTCCACCATGGAAACAACAAAGACAACCGTGGTTGCGGAAAAGGTTGACATTCATTGGTCTGATGGTGTTCCGCACATTACGATCGATTCCCACACTACACACAACCCGGATATATCATCAACTGTTGCGCCCTCTCAATCTGTTCTGCCCACACTAGATCCCGTTCACCAGGAAACGACCATATGTGTATTAAATCCGACGTAGGCTGTGAAGCACAATATACACGTCGCATTTATCACTTTCATTCAATCTCGGGAACCCGTTTTTTCTTGACTTTCCTTATTTGACTGCCACTTGGTAGTCGCGAGCACAGAACGATTAGTGGCAGAACGTTTCTCCTCTAGTCACAGATTGATATCTTTACTATCTTTTTTCTCCACCCTCGACCTTCC